TGCCAAAAGGGGGATAGAGGGAAAAACACTGTCAAATCAAACTTAAATGTTATTGATCGTTAAACGATTTGTACTAAAAAATTTGGATAATTTTGCATTTCATAAAATACTTTATAGTAAACAAATTTGTACAAAATACCCTCACTTTCAGAAAACAGTGTTACATACAATGTTGCTCAATGGTGGTTAGTACAGAGGGAGAAAATGTATCAGTATCAATTGAAAATGAAATGTAACTGTTCGTAAACTGATTTTATTTTTTCATAATTGCACGTCTCAAAGTAGTCAACTAAGTACGCACTAAACAAAACAACCTCACTCCTCGAAATTGTTTTTTCCAAACGTGGGGTGAAGAGAAAAAGATAGTCAATTCAAAATTAAATGGGGCTGACTGTAATTTTAATATTTCATGCTTTAAAATTGCATAAACCTTAAACGCTATAAAGAAAAATTCTACGAACTACCAAGCAAAACTATTTCACTACCGGAATCAGTGTTACCTACAGTGTTGCCCCATTTACAATTTGCCCCCATACTTCTCTCTCTTCCTCTCTCCTCTCTATTTCTCTTTCAGTATCTAACGCGGGATGACTGATTTAATAATTAGATTTGGTGTCTAAATGCAAGAATATAATAGACTATTTCACAGGTTTTAAAAACTACACTCAATAATAATTTTTTTTATATTAGAATTAGTTTTGGTGCATACTTTGCTTTCTTGATATACTTTTCATTTGTATGAGTGTTATCGATTCGCATTGATGTTTTCCCTTTTTTCTAATGTGACACGTAAAGAATTCCCATCACCGTCACCGGGATTTTTTCCTCCTACTCAATCCGTCAACCCTGATAAACCGAGGGGAAATGTTCTTTCTCGGGAGGGCGCGGGGCCGGGGCTTTTTTCTCCTCTTTAGCAGTAAATCACCGGATTCAAAGGAGCCCGTGAGACGAACGGAAAGGAGATGCAAAACCTCGTTGGCGACGAGCCGGCAGCCCCCGAATCGGCTTTTACATCAAGCCTAAAATTTCGCTAGCTGAGCAAAGTTAAATGGGAATTTCAACAAGGATAATGTTCTTTTACTCAGTTATTACCGTGATACAACGCAGCAAAGTTGCAGTAAAATACATATGAAATTAGACATTCAACATGACCATCTTCTTGAAGAATCCAAGCCTGACATAGATTTTACACATTTGATTCAATTTTAAGAAGAAAAAATTTCGTTCGAATTCTGCATTTCTTTCTCACTCTCTCTCTCTCTCTCTCTCTCTCTCTCTCTCTCTCACAGACATACACACACTCTCTTTCCTTCTCTCTTTCTCACTCACTCTCGTTCTTTCTCTTTCCTTCTCTCTCTCTCACTCACTCTCGTTCTTTCTCTCTCGTTCTTTTTCTTTCTTTCTCTTTCCTTCTCTCTTTCTTTCTCTCTCTCTCTCTCTCACTCACTCACTCACTCACTCACTCTCTTTCTTTCTTTCTCTCTCTCGTTCTTTCTCTTTCCTTTTCTTTCTTTCTCTTTCCTTCTCTCTTTCTCACTCACTCTCGTTCTTTCCTTTTGTTTCTTTCTCTTTCCTTCTCTCTTTCTTTCTCTCTCTCTCTCTCACTCACTCTCGTTCTTTCTCTTTCCTCTTCTTTCTTTCTCTTTCCTTCTCTCTTTCTTTCTCTCTCCCTCACTCACTCTCTTTCTTTCTTTCTTTCTCTCTCTCGTTCTTTCTCTTTCCTTCTCACTTTCTCACTCACTCTAGTTCTTTCTCTTTCCTTTTCTTTCTTTCTCGTTCCTTCTCTCTTTCTTTCTCTTTCTCTCACTCACTCTCTCTCTCTTTCTGTCTTTCTCTCTTTCTCTTTCCTTCTCTTTCTCTCTCTCTCACACACACACACACACACCCACACTCACTCACTCTCTTTCTTTCTTTCTTTCTCTCTCTTGTTCTTTCTCTTTACTTTTCTTTCATTATCTTTCCTTCTCTCTTTCTTTCTCTCTCTCACTCTCTTTCTTTCTCTCTCGTTCTTTCTCTCTTTCTCTTTCCTTCTCTCTTTCTTTCTCTCTCTCTCTCTCTTTCTCTCTCTCTCTCTCTCTCTCTCTCTCTCTCTCTCTCTCTCTCTCTCTCTCTCTTAATTTGTCTCAACTTAATTGAATTTTCTTTTATTTGATTATTTCTTTTTTCTTCGGTTAATTTTCAAGATGATTTAAAGTGAAATTAATTTTTCTTTTGTCCCGTTTCCCCGTCCCCAGTATTAGTTTATTGCGATTGCGAAATGAATTTGATTTTCTCAATATTTCACATTCCAAAAACACATAAACGCTCTACGGAAAACGTCAACACGCTAAACAACCGTAGGGAGGAGGAGAAAAACAGTGTCAATTCAAAATTAAGTTTGAGTTATTCACATATTAATTTTTTATAATTTTACTTTCCAAAAAGACTTTAACGCACTAATAAAACAGCTTAATTTCTCGAAATCAGTGTTTCCCACAGTGTTGCCCAAACGTGGGATAAAGAGAAAATCCCCATCAAAATTAAATCTGGCTGATCGTTGACCGATTGGCATTTCAATTTCCTATTGTTCAATTTTATTCAATTTTCCATTCCAAAAACGCTTTAAGGCACCAAAGAAAGGTATTGAACTAAATACGCACTAAAGCAAACAACCTCGATTCCCATAACCAGTGTATTACCCACAATGCTGACCAAACATCACGGAGAAAAACGTTCATTGTGTTGCATTTAAATAAGGTTAAGGTCCTTGATTTGCTTATCAACTCAATATTTCCATTCATTGAGCTGCCTTAATAAAAAAAGTTAATTAAACTAATAAACAAAAGAGTAAACGGAAAAGTAAGATTAGATCTCACTGGCACGGCCGTTGACAAGAACGGAAGGTATATGGATGGGGAGGAAGCTGACAATTAGCATTGTCTCGACGTCCTTGCTGAAAATTTAAATAAAAGTTGTTGTTTTTTTTTCAAATTAGTTTTATTGAATTGTACATTTAAGATAGGAAAGGGTAAAAAACGCGTTTTGAAATTTATAAAGCAGAATTTGCGATTCCAACGGTGACTTTATATTAATTCAGAACGCAGAGGACATCGGTGACGCGAGTTGGTTTTCGAATGTAAAATGATCTTGCACCACGAGAAGACCCTTGGCTCAGTTCTCGTTTTTCTTTCGGCCTAATCGGCTATTGTACTGTGTTATTTTATTGTTCCCTTCCTCACTCCGTGAATATAAAATTAACTCTGTTGAAACCCAAGGTGAATCGGGATTCTTGAACCTTTGAGACGAGACAGAGGCCCTTTTTTTTCTTTTATCCGAGGGATCAGGAAATAAAGAGATTATTCCTTGAAGAAAACTTAGCTCGATCTGTATGCATTGCGTGTTTTAACGACTTCCCTTTGTCCACACCCACGTCATGATGACAAATCGGCAAATTTGGCCGTATAAGTGACGAGAATATCGCTTTTCATGCCTGGCATATAGGCAACGCTTAATGGATTATTAAAAGATCCACTGTGCCTTTCTCCTTACATAACTTCAATTATTAATGTAAATAATTCTTATTTCCTTATGGTTTCTACTTGAACAACTGTTCTGCTTACAGTTTTTCTTTTTTGCATATTTAAATCCTGATGGTAACGTTTCTTAACCGACGGTCTGCTATGTGTTTAATGGGTCAGTTGATTCAACGTGTGTCATTCTCTCCCGTGAACTAGAACACGTAAGCAGTCGAAGAAACCGGCCGGTGCTAATACGGTCAAGGTACAAGGTACACAGACAGATTCCGACGCGAACTATCGCCCTGGCGTTGTTATCCTTTAGTCTGGCTGATGGACGAACCGCATCTCTCTCTCTCTCTCTTTCTCTCTCTCTCTCTCTCTCTCTCTCTCTCTCTCTCTCTCNTCTCTCTCTCTCTCTCTCTCTCTCTCTCTCTCTCTCTCTCTCTCTCTCTCTCTCTCTCTCTCTCTCTGTTTTATATCAAACTTTAGCTAATATCTATCTATCAGTGCATACATATATCTATCGTTCTATCCATCTATATATTTATCTGTCTAATCATCTCTGATCATGACTGCCCAACTGTTGTGTGTATGCTAATTTTCTTTTTTGACGAGAAGTTTGTCATTTTTTACTGTCGTTAAACAGTTGACATTTGTCTTTCTGTGTCTGTGTAAGTGCGTGTTTATGTAACATGTTTTGAAAAGATTCGTTATTTAACCGGAAAACGGGTGCGTTAGATAAAGAAAAACCGCCACTGTCCTTTGACCCTAATTTCACCCATCGTGCAATGACCGGCCACGAAAAGGCTAAAAAAAGAAAGGATCCGCGCAAATTCATATCGACAGGGAAGAATAACAAGGCACACCGGGTTCTAGGGTCGACCACTCGGATGATTGCAAGAACCGGTTCATGATATTGAAAAGATGATTTGTGGTCAGCATTATCGGCGGGATGAACCGCCTTGTGGTCAGCTACTCGGGAGATTCGATCCCTTCATCATTTTTGTTTGTAACACGTTGCTTGGAGATTTTGATTCTTATTATTTTTCTTCTATCCGTGTTCCTGTCTAATCCAAATCGAAAACCGCCCCCGCAGAATTTATAAAACTAGGAAGCGAAACCTTCAAGGCCTTTGAGTCACCATTTCACTGTAACACTGTGGGTTTACCAACCTACTTTCATTTTACGGTACATTTCGAAATATTATTGTCTATTCATCCGTTTTTAGAACATTTAAGATTCATGGCTAGTTTAAAAAACAACATATTAAGTTTCCTCTCTCCTGTCTTCCAGTGACATATTCCATATAAATAAATAATAAATTGAAGAAATAAATGAATTTAGTTGATGTAAAAGTTGATTGTTTTAACCAGTCGAACAACTCTGGCTTCTCCAATAATCGCTGTTTTAAACAGTAGATCGGGACATGCTTTTGAACACTATTTCATGGAATCTGACGCTCTCGTTGTCGCTCACTGAAATCAGTCAATTGCAAAGTGCAGTTTATTTGGAGCTGGTGTATTTGGTAACAGCCTTGGTTCCTTCTGAAACGGCGTGCTTGGCCAAGTCACCGTGAAGAAGGAGCCTCACAGCAGTCTGGATTTCCCGACTGGTGATGGTCGACCTCTTGTTGTAGTGAGAGAGTCGTGAAGCTTCAGCAGCAATCCTTTCGGAGATGTCATTGACGAAATTCATCAGTTGACATTCATTCTTGAGCGAAAGGTACTTTCCTAGATACGAGGCAATGTGCCTGACCAAAATCCATCGAAGACGCTTTCAAGTCACACTTATGATCATCCTCTTCATTGCTTACACCCAAGGATTCCTACCCTTTCTGAAACTCTCCTTGGAGTACGATGTCATTCTGTGCTATCAGAAAGACCTCGTTATAATGGCAATACCTCCCAAACCCATGTCACATCCCTTGAGCAGTTCAAGCTGTGTAAAATTAAAATAAACGCACTAAAATGTGAATATTCTTACACCTCAGGAAGGATACTCACCTAGCTCCTTTATATCAAGCACACATAGATGCAGGGGTACGCCAAGAAAAGTAGGACTATCCACTTCACCGTACCCACCAAAGACAGTACTACTCTTCTGAAACTATCCTAGGTGTATGATGCCATTCTTTGCTATTAGAAAGATCCCGTTATCTTGGCAATATCTCCCAAACCCATGTCACATCCCTTGAGCAGTTCAAGCTGTGTAAAATTAAAATAAACGCACTAAAATGTGAATATTCTTACACCCAAGGAAGGATACTCACTGCTCCTAGCTCCTTTTTATCAAGCACAGATAGATGCAGGGGTACCCCAAGAAACGTAGGACTATCCACTTCACCGTACCCTCCAAAGACAGTTCTACCCTTCTGAAACTAGGTGTAAGATGCCATTCTTTGCTATCAGAAAGATCCCGTTATCGTGGCAGTAACTCTCAAACCCATGTCCTCTCCCTTGAGCAGTTCAAGCGGTGTACAATTAAAATAAACGCATAAAAGTGTGAATATTCTTTCACCCAAGGAAGGATAATCACTACTCCTAGCTTCTTTCTAAAAATCACCTATCGCATATATGTGGAAGACTCCAAGAAATTTAATACCATCATCTTCTCTGCATATACCCAAAACATTTCTACCCCTTCTGAAACTCTCCTTGGTGATCGATGCCATCCTTTACTCTAAAAGAGATCATCTCCACCGAAAAATTACAACAAACGCACAAAAATATAAACACCCTAAAAAGGGTTATGATTGCTCCTAGCTTCTTTTTATCAAGCACAGTTTGATGCAGAGGTACCACAAGATACTTAAGACTAACCACTTCACCTTATACATTATTACCCTTCTTTGATATTATACTGCCATCTTTTGCTATCATAATGATCCCGTCATTTCGTCCAGAAACCTGCAAACTTATGTCACATCATTCCTCATAAAGACATGTAGCATCAAACTTTAGAACCTCCAACCTTTCCAATCCTTACAATACAAAAATCCTTCGAACCATCGTCAACGCTCCTTTCTGTAAATCTCATCTCACCGTTCACCACGACTTCATTGCCCACCATGTTCTTAAAGTGTCCATCCCGCTCTTCCGGATTCTTCCTGGAGATTGAAACCCTTCTGAATTAAACATAGGGTTAACATTAAAAATCTTTGGAATTTCCCCATTTTTCTCTGAAGCTTTGTACACACACAAAAAATTAAAAAGCCAAAATATGACGTTGGAGATAAAAAGGCATTCAGGTGAGGCCTTTTTAGAACTTTTCCTTTGAGAAAAACTCAAACAAGCTTTCCAAACATTTTTTTTTCTTGTTGTTGTTCCAGACCGTTTATAATAATAAAGAAGGCTCGCGTTCACGAAGGCATTGTCGTCTTTCACCGGAATCTTATTGAAGCCCCCTAATGAAAAACGTTGCTAATAATCTGTTCCGTTAGAATTCAAACTCCGTCAAATAAAATAGTGTTCTACAAAGGCCTGGATGGAAAAATAACGGAGCTTTAAAACAGTGCCGGTAGTAAATCATTATTGCAAAACAGAACCAGTCTTCCCGATCGACCCAACGAATTATTTTAATACCTACCAGCATCACACACGTCGTAGATAACCGCCTAATAATCTTTTATTACAAATCAAAAAAAAAATATTTACATGTTGCAGTAGAATCCTGTAAAGATTTAATTAGATATATGACCTCTAAAACGCCGCCGTGTTTGATTAAATTCATGAAAAAAACACATACAATAAATATACAGAATAAAACCCAAGCGTGGACGGATAAAGCATAGCGATAAGTGTTCACACGAACTACTAAACATAGAGTATCAAAAAAAGGAAAGACCTACGCACGGTTAGAAACAAAAACGCGTTTTCAATAAATAAAGGATGAAGAAGAAAGACATGTAAACAGAAACGAACAAAAAGGTACAATCAACATTCACCGCTAACAAGAAGATTCGTTTAAAAAATAAAAAATAAAGAAAAACAGCATAAATATCGAAAATATAGAGAGGACTTTTTAAGCATAAGAACAGAATAAATATTATAGGCACAAAAATGAACATATACATAAAGAAACGCCACACAGAACCAAATTAACCAAAGAAAAGGAAATTCAGTTGAACGTATTCAATTACATAAAAAAATTAACGAACATATTCCATCCACGGACAGGGCTCATTGATATTAAAAATAGGATGATAAAACAACGAGCGTCCACAAGTAAGGAGAGAGAAAGAGAATAGAAGACCTAGAAACCAACCAAACAACGAAATCAAGGAATAACAAAAAATATAAATAATATAAACCACAAATATGGACATATTTAACAAAAAAAGAGAAAAGTAAATATTCAGATACGTGTGAGAGAGGGGGGTAGATAGATAGAGAGAGAAGAAAGATAGAGACAGACAGACATTTTATCATAATTTGTTGTACACGTTGTTTTGCCTGTTTCTCCGCTCCCCACTCTCTCTCTCTCTCTCTCTCTCTCTCTCTCTCTCTCTCTCTCTCTCTCTCTCTCTCTCTCTCTCTCTNTCCCTCCCTCCATCCATCCCTTCTCTCCCTCCCCTCCCTCCCACTCACTCTCTTTCTCCCTTTTCTCTCTTTCTTTCTATACAGGCGACCCGTTTTATTTTGAAGCCGAATATTTTCCCCCGGTGTAATTCATTCTCGAATTTGTTCAGACCAATGGACCTTGTAAACGCTCGCTTGGCCGTTTATCGATTTACCGTTTGTAAAGCGCTCCTATTAACACGGGGCCCCCCGTCCCCCTTCAGCTTTATTTACTATGTCTTGAAAGTTGAAGGTGCGTGTAGAATATACGATGTTTTGTCAAGAAAATGAAAAAAGAGCTCCTATGAACAGACAAAACAACTATTAAAACGTATAATGAAAAACTCAAACAAATACAGACATATTGAACAAGAAAAGAAGTAAGTGAATATTTTCATACACGCGGGAGAGAAAGAGAGAGGTAGCGAGAAGAGAGAAAGAGATAGAAGACATAAAAAATAGGGGGAGATGCGAAAGAAAATAGGTGAGACGGATAGATGAGAGAAGGGATAGAGGACAGAAGAGAGAAAGAGTGAGTGGGAGAGACTTATAAACAGGCAAAATAACGTGTATAACGATTAACGACAAATGCATAGTAAACAAGAAAAGATAAAAGTAAATTTGTATGTACATGAACGGATATCTTGTGAAACATAACCCTTAAATTAATGGACCTTTTTAATGTTAAGAAGAAAAAAAGAGAGAAATAAAGACAGAGAGAGAGAGAGAGAGAGAGAGAGAGAGAAGGAGTCGCAGTAAGAAAAAACCACAAGAGATGCAGAATAGAGTTTAGTAAAAAGAAATATAGAAGGATTAAAGAAGGTGTGCATGAGAGAATTAGAAGAGTAAAAGCGCGAGAGAAAGAGAGAAATTTGTAAACAGGCACAACACCGAGTATAAAGAACAACGAAAAACCTAAATAAATGCAGACATATTAAACGAGAAAAGAAAAGTAAATACGTATGTACAATAACGGATACCCTTTGAAACCCACCTCATAATATGTGATAGGTTAGGTTATGTTACTTGGGGTTAGGGATGGTTAAGTTAAGTAGGGTTGGCTTAGTGAGATAGAAACAAGAGCACACACAAAAGGAGTTTAAGAAAAAGAGATGTAGTAAGGGGTACATAGATAAGGCAGGTGTGCATGAGAAAGAAGGTTAAGTGTACAAAGAATAACGAAAAACGGAAACAAATACTTCCTAGTAGCAGCCATTGAACATCCAACACTCTTAATAATCGTGTAATCAAAAGCTTAACCTTACAGGTGCAGCCATTCCTTTCAACGACAAATCTAAGCAGTTTCCACGGTGCACATTGGTGCTTCACATGTACCGACGTCTCTTGTTTCTTTCCCTGGTTTAGCCATAATTTTTAGTTTGTAGGTAAGAGGGCCGTGGTCTATAATTTTATTCCAATCTCGCCTTTAAGTCATTTGTCCAGCACTCTCTCCGGTGAACCTAGTTGATTCTGATCCCATCGGTGAGAATCACCCCTAATTTGGCTAGTTGGCCACTCGTCGGTTTCCTTCTAAACCTTCATCTTCTGAAACCCATCTTAAGATAATTTAGGCACTTCTTTCGGCATTTACTTCTTCATTTTTAGAACCGAAATCACATTCTGAGGTTTATTCTCGTTTTGGTGCATAATCCAATGCTTAATAGAGTATGAGACCTGTTTGGTATTGGGTCAAGAATTATACCTAGGGGCTTAGTTTCTTTGGAGAAATGGACTGAAATATCGACACTTAAGAAAGCATCTCTCTTGTACAAAAAAAGAAGAAGGCCAAATCTGAAAGTGCTCACACTAAAAGATGAAGCTGAATCGTTTTTTTCTTCAGTTTTATCTTTTAGCCTTTCTCACACCATCTTTCTACTATGTTTAGCACGTTTTACTTATCAGCCTATGGTATGGTATCCTAAGCTATTAAACTGTGTGATTAGGTCGTCTGGCTCTTTGTGTAGGTGCACTTGTACGGTCTGATGACCACAAAACAACACCTTTCCCAGGGCCACTACATAGATGTAGATGTAGTTTCGGGGTATAGTATGCTGCGCCCTTTAAGAGCTATTGTACCCCCCCCCGTGCTCTGCCTAAAGCACATCGGTGAGTCCTATTTCATCAAGAAACTTTATTAATAGGCCCGGTTTCAATGGTTGAAGCTCTTCTATACCTATTATACATCCCAAAACACTTCTTCCTGCGAGCAAGTGTAGCTCCGCAGTTTGTTAGTAGATGTGTTGTTGTCTCTTCTGCCTCTTTGCAGAATCTGCATGTGCCATCTTGGATTATTCCAATCTTCTTTAA